CTGCACCTAACCCGGATCTACGTCCTGCTGCAGTGACAGGAGGGGGAAAAGCCAAGGTAAGATCGAACCAAGTTCTGCCCCCCGGATTTAAAACCGACTCCCTCTCACTGCATAGCTGAAAACGCCACATAAGGTCAACGACTCCTTTCGTAAAAAGAAAGTTCTTCTCCCAGATACTTGTGTTTGAGCCGCTGCACATTCATTACGTCATTGCTTTGGCGCTTCAGTTTTTCCAGTATTACTATTTTTTGTTGTTTTGTTTTATGGTGTAACTACAAAGCTTTTCAAGTGAAAAAGAAATGTCCTGGCAAAGCAAGGCACTATTCAGATACACTGTAAATCACCACTGTGCTGAAAGGACATACCACGCGCATTTCATAAAACAACAGGCATTTCAATAATAAAACAACCACAGATATAATTACAAATATTTTAAACACAACAGATAAATCAGTAAGCCTCTGAATAACGTTGCAAATTAAAAGATTTACAAAAGAGCTACAGAGTAATTTTTTTTGAGCAAATTTTTTTTTTCCCCCTACAGATTTTTAACTCTTTGGATAGCAGCCTGCCCACACAACAGCAGAACGAGGGTGTCGCTGAGCTCCCAAGGAGCCCAGGCTGCAGGGGCAGTGGATTCAACCGGACCTTCCAGGCACAGACGCCGGCGGCTGCTCAAGCAGAGCTTCCAGCTAACAAATAAACCATGCTAAGGTTCATCCAGCCAAAATATTCATTGCTATTGCAAAAGCACTTCACACACAAAAAAAGCAAAAAAATACCAACAGTGTAATTTACAATTTGCCGAGAGCCTGAGAAATTGCAAAGGAGAGAAGAAGAAATAAAAGGGGGTTATCACAGCTGGTTTATCTCGCTTTTCAACAAGGCTGTTACATAGCTCCGCTGTGCTGTGTGTTTCACACGGAAATACAGAACGAAGAGTAAATGGTTGGGGGCTTTTATTCAGAACTTATGCCAGAGTTAATTCATTCGTTAACTCAGCTGTGGATTAGGGACCTAGGGTGCAAATGTTGTAAATTAAAAGGAAAAAAAACCTTCATTGTATAATAAAGCTTTTTAAAGTCCATCTGTGCTACAGTGAAAAAAAAGGCATTTGATAAAAGTTCTTTTAATCTCTGTCCTCTACAATTCTTTTTTGATGCTTATGATTTCTTCTTTATTGCTTTTATGAGAAAAAATTTGCTGACACTAGTTAACATTGACCTCTTTGGTCAACACTTTTTATTAATTTTACAACCATGTGTTCCCATTAGAATATTTTTCTATCTTCTCTTCCCCCCCCCCCTTTTTTTTAATAGGCTTTTAAATGTTCAGTTAAGCTGCCTGAGGCTAATTTATTCATTTGGAGATTCTTTTAACAGTGTAAACTAGATTAAATACCTGGTTTTGGAAAATTAAGATGGCACTTGATATCTAACGTTCTAAAACATGTACAACAGCCCCAGACAACAAAAGGAAGGACGGGCAGCGGCAGTGCCCGGCAGCCCCTGCCAGCAGCATCCCCATGCCGAGCGGGCCGCTGCTTCACCCCCCCAAGGCAGCACAGCTGCCCGCAGGGCTGCGACCCAGCTCCACAAGGAACTTGTGCCCAGCCAAAATCCACAGAAAGCGAGTTCAGCGGTTCCCCACACCGCATCGGTTCTCTGGTGACAGAGCCGTGCGGGCACGGCTCCTGCGCTGCTGGCTCACTGCGCGCCAGCCCCAACGTGCCCCGTCCGCAGGGACGGGGGGACCGTGCTCACCGCCGGCTGAATCCAGGTACCTTCCTCGGACGGCGTTTGTTCGGAGCTGCCTTCACGCGTAGCAGAAGGCTATCGAGCGCAGCACTAACGCTCGTTACCAGGCCTGTGCTCTGCTCCGGGCCCCTCCTGCAGTCACTGAACTTTGGATTTCATCTTTACAAGCCTGGGGGGGGGGGGGCA